TGAGCTTATTCTGCTCTACTACTTGAGCCACAGCTCCACTTCTAACATTTTTTGACAGTTAATTGGAAATAAGAGTTGCATGGACTTTCCTACCTGGACTGGCTTCGAACTATGATCCTCAGATCTGACTCCTGAGTAGATAGGATTGCCCAGTTATTAATGCCTTTTTTTTTTTATCTGTTGTGGGGCTTGAACTCTGGGCCTGGGCGCTCAAGGTGAGCGCCCTACCACTTGAGCCATAGCGCCACTTCCAGCTTTTTCTGATTATGTGATACTGAGGAATCAAACCCAGGGCCTCATGCATGCAAGGCAAGTGCTCCACCACTGGGCCATCTTCCCAGCCCCTAGTAATGCCTTCTTACAGGGAAAATTTTTTATGAAACTTACAATCTAGTTAAGATTTGCTTATAAATGAATAATTGATTTTTAAAAAGAATGTCAAATGGGGATTATACATGGTTTTAGGTTCAATTCCAGCACAACAACAAAAAATAAACCATCCAGGGCAAATCACATCATTTAATAGATAAGTTATGGAAATATAAGTAGGGGTGCTGACTTGTTCCACCTAATGTTTAACACTCCTAACAGTAGGCATAATCAACATTAGAATTTAGGCTTTATACATAGACTTTATACATAACTGCTGCTTTTAAAAATGCTTGTAGATGGGTGCCAGTGGCTTACGCCTATAATCCTAGCTACTCAGGAGGCTGAGATCTGAGGATCACAGTTCAAAGCAACCCTCGCAGGAATGAGGCTCTTATTTCCAGTTAACCACCAAAAAACCAGAAGTGGAGCTGTGGTGCAAGTAGTAGAGTGCTTTTCTTGAGCTGAAGAGCTCAGGGATAGAGCCCAGGCCCAGAGTTCAAGCTCCACAACCAAATCCCCCCCCACCCCGCAAAAAAAATGCTTTGTAAACTAAGTGCTAATGGATCACACCAGTAATCCTAGCTACTGGGTAGAAAAGTCCATGCAACTCAAACTGGAGGTGTGGTTCCAGTGGCAGAGCATGTCTTGAGCAAAAAAAGCAAAAAACAAAAACAATATAAACAAGAGCTCAAGGTCTTGAGTTCAAATCCCAGTACCATCACCAAAGAGTTGGAGATTCAGAGGATTGTGGTTCAAAGATAGCCCAGGCAGCAAAATTTGTGATAAGTCGTCTCCAAAATAGTCAGCAAAAAGCAGATCTGGAGTGGTAGAGAACCAGCTGAGCAAGCACAAGACCCTGAGATTAACTTAGTACTACAAAAAAAAAGCTTTGTTTAAAAAAAAAGTGGGCATGAGTTGGACATTGGTGGCTCATACCTGTAATCTGAGTCACTATTCAGGAGGCTGAAATCTGAGGATTGTGGTTAGAAGCCAGCCTGGGCAGGAAAATCTGTGGGACTCTTATCTCTTATCTCCAAAAAGAATAAAAAAGATAGAAGTGAAATTATGGCTCAAGTAGTAGAGCACTAGCCCTGAGCAAAAAAAAGCTCAGAAATAATGTTCAAGCCCTGAGTTCAAGTTTCAGGACTGGAACAACAACAACAAAAAAAAGTAGGCATGAAGTTGGGCACCAGTGACTCATGCCAGTAATCCTATCGACTCAGGAGGGTGAGCTTTAAGGATAAAAGTTCAAAGTCAGCCTGAGCAGGAAAGTTATGAAACTCTTATCTCCAATTAACCACCAAAAAGCCAGAAGTGGAGCTGGGGCTCTTAGTAGTAGAGCATCAGCCGTGAGCAAAAGCTCAGGAACAGCTCTCAGACCCTGAGTTCATGCCCCAGGACCAGTTTTTAAAAAATGGGCGCCACTGGGCGCCCGTGGCTCACACCTGTAATCCTAGATACTCAGGAGACTGAGATTTGAGGATCTCGGTTCAAAGCCAGTCTGGGCAGGAAAGTCAGTGAAACTCATCTCCAAAAAACCACCAGAAAACCAAAAGTGGCCCTGTAGCTCAAGTGGTAGAGTGCTAGCCTTAAGCTAAAGAGCTGAGGCACAGCGCTCAGGCCCAGAGTTGAAGCCCTGCGACCCACAGGAAAAAAAAATAGTATAATCTCAGTTATACAAGCAGCTGAAGCAAAAGGATCATTTAAGCCCAGGAGTTCTAGGCTAGCCTGAATAACACAGTGAAAACCTGTCTCAAAACAAAACAAAGGGGTGACACTGATCAAGATTCATTGTATCCACACACTACACATACTGTTGAATGCCAACTCTTTTGTACAGCTACTTAAAGATAAAACAAAAATTATAAAAGAACAAACAAAAAGAATGCTTTGGGATTATTTTGCTGGATTGACTTTCTAACTCCAAAAGTAATTTCTTGGGGGTAAGAACTGTATCTGTGCCTATCTGCATTGAAGCTGAATAGCGTGCCCTTAACAGTCATTCACACATTTCCTTATTTCTATGTCACAATGGTAGGGAAAGAACTAAGGCAGGAAAAAAGGAAAAACAAAAATAAACAACCATCATGCCTCCTAATTACTAGTCTGTAGGTTAAACAGGGACTTTCAGAGGCCCAGAAACATGAAACGGTAGACTCAGTCATTAGCCATGCTAGGCACTGATGCTCTGTTTCTCTTAGGCTTAATATCCTATATAGGATCAAGTAAATCATATAGTTAATTCAAGAGACTTGAAGCTTAAGCAAGTTCATTTGTAGCAAATTGCAGTTGTAAGAGAGGAACTGAGAGCTGCTTGTTCAGTGTCATATGATTTACTTCCTCAGAGAAACCAAAGGAAGAACATCAAACCATAGAATGTTAATGAAATGTTTCCCACTCTTGTTTTAAATTTCATCCGGTTTTCCTGGTTACTGTTGGGGAACAAATATTATCTGTATAGCTTCTTTTCTTTTTTGTTATCAAATCAGCTATTGTCTATGTCTAGACACAGTCACATGCTTAGAATTCAAGTGTCTTGGATCCTAGATAAGCCTACGCATGCTCAGGAAAGCCGACTAGTTAAGCCAGAAAGAATTTATCTTGGACTAGGAATCTAGAAGGAACAGCTGACTGTCATTGTCTCCTTTGTAACTTTTAGTCAGCAGTAAACTGGGTGATCATGAAAGTCAGGAGTGTTCCTTTACAGACTCTCCCAAATACTTTCACATGACAATTGATGTGCCCTGCGCTTGTGGCTCACACTTGTCATCCTAGCTATGCAGGAGGCGGAGATTTGAGGATCACGGTTCAAAGCCAGCCCAGGCAGCAAAGTCTGTGAGACTCTTATCTCCAATTAACCACTAGAAAACCGGAAGTGGTGCTGTGGCTCAAGCGGTAGAGTGTTCGCCTTGAGCTGAAGAGTGCAGGGACAGCTCCCAGGCCCAGAATTCAAGCCCTAGGACTGACCAAAAAAAAAAAAGAACAATTAATGTGAATTTAAGGCTGTAGATGTGGCTTAGTTGTAGAGTACCTTCCTAGCAGGCATAAGGCCCTAGTTCAAACCTCAGTACCGACAAAAAAAAAAAAAAGTACACATAAAATAGATTGGGATAAAAAAAAACAAACATTAATTCAAAAGATTCACAATACAGCAGCAGGGGGGGTGGAACTATGTGGAATTTGTAGTGAAGGTTTAGGGTGAAACAGGAAAGAAAGTAAACAATGAATACCCCAACACTAAAATAATTACAACTCAAAGTGGAACTAAATGGATACAAACAGTCTAAAGTAAAGGCAGGGGTGGAATAAGGTGGTGAGAGAGAAAATAATACTTAGGAGCTAGTCAGTGAGGGCCAAAAGATCCTTTTTGACACCAGGTGAAGGTTGGTTCATTTATTTTATGGTCTTTCATGTCCTGATTCTCCATAGGGCTGAAAGCAACTTGAGGGTGAACACTCTTGGCACTTGTAGAATGATAGATTTATGTCGATAGATCCATCACTCTTCAGTACAGTGTTCATGATGCAGAAAATTTGTAATGCAGATGTTCAAAGAAAGGCTCTGCAAAGATCAGAGTGTGGCAGCTAACAGATGTTGTGTAGACAGAACACAAGGGAGTATAATTACTGGAAGAGAAAAACAAAACGCCTTACCTCTCTTTAAAGACTTCCCAGGTGAGTATACATAATCTTTGAGGGCAGAAAATAAGAGCCTACAGTGTCTCGTATTGGTTTTAAACCTTAGGGTTTACAAAATGCAATTTCATAGCTATTATCAAGGCACTTCCTGGGCACTCAATACAAGCCAGGTACCAGTACCAAGCAAAATGATCAACATAAGCAGTGCCTGTTGTGTCGGGGCTTACAAACACACACTGATGGGAATAAAGAAGAGGAAGAGTCTATCCTGCGTGGGGCTGCGGAAGGGAAAGCACACGCACGCGTACACACAGAGAAGTGACATCTGAGGTAGACTCTGAAGGATGCTTGGAGCTGACACAACCAGGACTTGCTTCTGAAGTGCCATCGCCTTGTTCACAGAAAAGAGAAAGTCTCGTGTAGTTTCAGCTCACAGATTAATGGGCGCTGACTCCCATTCGAAACTCTCTACGGTAGAGTTGCAAACTGTCCCCGGGTTCTAAGACGCCCCAGCACCAGAATGGGGCAAGACCCGGAAGTGGAGAGGAGGCCAGGGAAGAGACGACCCCCCCTCTCCGCTCCAACCATCCTCCGGCCGCTCTCGGCCGGGCCTTCCGGCTCCCGCTTCTCAGTCACTCACCCGCCGTTAGGCGAGAGGAAGTCTGTGTAGTCCTCGTCCTCAGCACCGAACATCGCGTCGGCGTTCGTCCTGTTGCACCTAGGAAGCCGGATGTTCCCAGGACCTGTCACCACCACGGTCGTAAAATGCCGCGGCGGCGCGCTGCTTTCCGGCAGGACAAACTGGCACCGTGGCTTCTACCGAAAGGAGAAACGGGACTCTGGAAGGAAGGTGGAGCAAAGGCAAATGAGAAGGCGAGCGCCCCGTGACGTCAGGTCTCTCCAGGCCGTGGCGGGAGGGGTTGGAGTTCCGAGGCGCTGCGTGTGATTGGCCAGACGGTCCAGGGGGCGGGAAGAGGCGGAGCGAAGGCGGGAATCCTTCGGTGGCCTCTGTGGCGGTTGTGGACACGTCGTGCCGGACAGAACTCAAAGGGGCTTCTGAGAAGTCCTGCGCGGGGACGGGTGGAGGTTCCGAGAGGGCGGCGTTGGTGGCGGGACTCGACCTGGGAAGAAGGTAAGGCCTGCCCGCCCTCTCCTCCAATCCTGGCGTGTGCACCGTCCTTTCCCCTCCGTGGGACCGGGACCCTCCGCCTCTCTTCTCTGCCGGGCGGAAGGAGAAAGAATCCGGGACTACACATTCGGAGCCCCGAGCTCTGGCCTTGGCTTGCGATTGATAGAGTCGGCGTGACCTTAGACACGTTGTTTGCTGCCTCGGCTTCCTCGTCTCTGCAGCGGGTGGTGTTGCCCAGTACCTTCATGTGCCAGGCTTGTCGTGCTTTTCAACTTCGGGAGATCTTCTCCAAGTCCGGTCTCCTCATAATCCCAGAATTTGCACGTAAGGAGACGTAAGAACTCAAGTACCGGAGTGGCCAGCCCGAGGTCACACAGAGTAAAGGGCACACTGCGTCCTCTGAGTCGGGAGTCAGCGCGCCGGCGTCCCGGTCCTTCAAGCGCTGTGCACCCGTACCGAGGTGGCTATGTATTGCTAGACTGTGTGGCAAAAGCCCGGGGAGAGTCACGGTTCTAGAATCCATGCAGGTGAGATACAGAAGAGCTGGGATGTTCTGGAGGTGGATGATGGGAAAGAGGAAACTTCGAACGCGAGACACTGTCTTCTTGCTTGATCTGGATTTGACTCTTGTCTCTCTGCCCCAGGCTCATGGTGGCGATTTTTTCTGCCCACTGTCTGTATGTCTTGCGTCTTTTGTGATTCGGGTGCCATCCTTGGGACTAATCTTGGGGTTCACCTGGCTTAGCTAAGGATAAAAAGATGGGGTGCCAGTGTAGGGACCATTTTCACAGACCTCTCTGGACTTCTTCTACTCCAGATTGTCCCTGATCTTCAGGTGTCCCCAACCTACATGTTTTTCATCTTTTGGCCTGATATTGAAGTGATTGGAAGCTCCCTTCCCAAAGAACTTTGTACCTCTTGGCATTTCTCCTGTTGAACTTTTTATTATAGTTTGTGTACTACTGAACTGTGAGTCTTCTTGCCCACAAGAGGTTCTCATTAATTTTTTATTAGATTGAATAATGGAATTTATTCTTGTTCCCTATTTCTTAATTTGCTCTCAGATTCTTTGGGGTTTTTTGTTGTTGTTTGTTTGTTTTGTTTTTGTTTTTGTTGTTCCCGTGTGTCCCAGAGAGCCCTGCCATGGCTCTTGCCTTTTATAGCCAGCTTCCAGAAAGATAAAAATGCTGTACTGGCTGTGAACTGTCTGGGTTGCTTAGTCTCTTTTGTTAATTGAAGTCGATTGTACTGTTGTCTAAAACTCTAGGGGAGGAGCATGAAGGGAATAGGAGAGTTAGAAATATTACCTGTAACTATAAGTTTGATTTTAAGTAAATTATTCCTTCCTATAACTGAGGATAGGGCTTCTGGTTTGCTTCTTGTATTTATTTTACAGATTAAGATGGCTAAAGCAGTGAAAGGTGAATGTTAAAGGAATAATGCAACTGAAATATAAGTACTAGAACTTGTACCTGTTATAGGAGCTCTGTTTAGATTTGTACTTGGCTTGCTACTTCTGGGGTGGAGGGAGATTGAACAAGATAGGTACCATAATCCTTTCCAACTCTTCTCCCCAGTACTGATGCTCCCTTAAAATGCCAAAGGACCATTTGAGCTCTTATCTTGCATTTTGGGGTAGAATTGTTTTTCTCCAAGGTGTTCTTTAGGTTCTGGAATCCTAAAGTCTGCCTTTTTGGTGACAGGGACACCACCACCAGCCATACCCATATTACCATGGCGGTAATCACACTAATGTGATTTTCATTGGCAGTATGAGGAAGAGAAAGATGGAGTATCTCTCCCAGATTTTCAAACTTGGCAGTGCAGGATTGGGTGCACCTGAAAAAAACATTGTGTTCTAAATTAGAGTATCCCCAGATTGGCAGTAATGAAGTAGGAATTCCGGATACCTGAATTTTTGTCCTGGCCCTTCTGATTCACTCTGTGCCTGAGCCAGCTCCCTCAGCACTGTGTACAAGAAAGTGACTACACATTTAGCCACATCTACTTTGTGTCTATAAGTAAGGCATAACCTTGGTGTCAAGTTTGAATTAAGTATTTTGGTTCATTTGTTTTGCTTAAATATGTACAGTGTATTGATAGATTCATAAAAGATGGCTAGGATTGACTAGAAAGCAGAAATTGTACTTTTAATAATGCCTACATTATTAAATAATTTAAAAATTATTGCTTGAATAATTCCTTTCAAATCATCAGAAAATTTGTGAGATATTTCCATTTAATATACAAGTGTATCCATACTAATCATACTAGTGAGTGCATGCATTTTATGATTAGTGAGGTTATAACCAAATTGTATCATAGAAACGTGAATTGGATATGTGCTTACTAGATTTGTATATTATTCAATCACTAAAAGCAGAAGACTATCTGAACTGAATTCAAGAAAGCCTACTCTGTACAAGGTTCTATGGTGAGTGTTATGTAGGATAGGAAATGAGTAGTCCCAAAACAAAACAAAAAAAAGTAATAATTGCAGAATTTCAGAGGAGGAAGAGATCATATCTAGTTTGGAGGAGATTATAGGGTTAGGTAATAGATTTGGAAGAGAAATGGGACTCCAAGAGGAAGTAAGAAACTAGATTAAGGAGGCAACTTTGGCAAATATACAAAGGCAGGAAAGATGGTACAGACTAATAAGATGGAAGTTGCCCCTCTAATCTGATGTACTTAGGGCCATTTGTTGTTAACTAAAAAATAAAAATGTTAAAACAGGGAATCATATAAGTTTTTGTTACACATATATTTTACATATCTAATTCTAACTTAAAATATAAATATCCTTTGCCATTTTTCAACCTATAGCTATAGCTATGTTTTTGGAATATGGGTTTCTGGATTTAACAAACTATAGGCAAATCTTATCCCAGGCCTCTGTCTATTTTTATAATAGTTTTATTGCAGCACAGCCATCCTGGTTTATTTACATATTATTTATGGCTATTCTCATCCTTGAAAGCAGTTGAAGAGTTTCAGCAGAAGCCATAGGGCCTATACAGTCTTAAAATGTTTGCAGTTGGCCCTTTACAGAAATGTTTGCTATTTGGCCCTTTACAGAAAGTTTACCAACCCCTGGTTTTCTTTAACATACAATGAATAATTAACTTAAAGCTATTTGCAAAGCAGCCTGAGTACAGCATCACTCAGAATCACTAGGTATTCATGAAATTTCTTCCAAAACTCTCACCCCTCTGACAGCAGATCATGTGTATTTGTATGACTCATCTTTATCTAGTCATTTGAAAACATTGAACTCCAATGTGTATAGAAGCACACAGCCAGAGAGTCTGTGTAAGATGATAATAATTGTATTTTAAAGCTCTGGAATCAAATTTCTTTGCTACTTAATACATAGACCTTCGGCAAGTTGCTTATCCTTTGTAAATAGGGGCAATGATAATATCCATTTTCTAGAATTTCTGTGATGATTGTATGAGTTAATTCATATAAAACACATAATGCCAGGAAGGTAATATCTATTCAGTTAATTTCTGCTGTCATTTTTCTTATTCACACTTAATTGTTTTGCATAATAATAAATCAAACTATAGATTGATAACAATAAGCACAACTGGCATAAATTGATCTGTGAGTAAACACAACTGACACCCTTGATAAGCACACACTTCACTAAGGGGAAGAACAGAAGTGTTGATCCTGTCATCTTAGAGAATTGCCTAACCAGTGTGTTCTCCATGCTAAGAAAGTTTTTCAGGATGGTTTCTAAGAGTGTAAGACGATAATGCAGAGTAGAAATAGATCAAAGTTGAAAAGGAATCAAAACCATACTTGCCAGTTACTTTGAAGCCCAAAAAGACAAGTTTGTACTTAGCTTGAGGCCAGACCCTATGTAAGACCTTTCTCCAGGGGTAGTATACACTTGTAATGCTAAATGGGAGGTATAAATAGGAGAACCATATTTGAGGCTGGCCCCAGGCAAAAACACAAGACCCAGTCTCAAAAATAACTAAAGCATAAAGGGCTAGAAGTATAGCTCAAGTGGTAGAGTAACTATCTAACTAGTACAAGTCCCTGAGTTTAAATTTCAGTACCACTAAATTAAAATTAAACAAATGACATGATTATATTAAAAAAAACATTCAAGTGGTTTAGGAATATATGAAAAGACAAAAACTTCATCTAGCTCCACTCCATGTGAGTAGTCCCTAGCACGAAGGGGCTGTGAGGACTGACTGCAACAAGGGAAGCATGGTAATCACGACTAAGCACTAGAATGAATGTTAAGATAAATCAATCAATCAATCAACCTCGATCTACTCTCTCTTTGGATTATAATCTCAATTTTGAGTTGAGAAATAAATTGGTTGCTCAGAAAGTACAAATTTATATTCTAAGTCCCTGACCCTTAACTCTGTACTTTCTGTATAACAGGGAAAAGATGGCAATTATCACTACAAAGCAAATGTTTACAGTGACATGACATCAACTAGTAGAAGTCAGGTGAGTGAGTGTCCTGGGCAGCCAGCACCCAGATAACTCCACCATTTAAATTGGCCAGGCTGCCATGGCTAGGGGAAGGGGAGTGGCAGCTGGAGGAAGTTGCTGATGCCTGTACTCCCACATGGAGCTCTTGGCATAACAAAGCCATTTTAAAAACTCACAGGTGTCCTGTAGTTTGTGACTAAGTGTATAACAAGCCATCAAAAGTCTTAATACTTGATACATTACAATGACCCGTTTATGCCAAAATAAACCTTAGAGTAGGTACTAGGAAGGAAATGCTTTTGAAGTTCCATTGCTTTGAGTAATAGCATTTCATAATTTAGGTAATTTCTCTAAGCAGAGGAGGGGCCCATCCTTAGGAATACAGAGCCCTGCCGAGAAGGAAGGGGTTGAGAAGGATCCACCCTACCTCTTTTTCTTTATACAATGACCCTTGGGTTTTGTATACAAACTGCTTTTGTAGGCTGACATGATGCAATACAGCAAAATGAGATGGAAAATGGCCTCTCTAAA